AATTGGTCAACAAGTCGAAGCGACGGAGGTGAGCAAATGTGAATCTCAAGTGTTGTTGCGAAAAAAATAATCCAAGATTAAAGGTAAATAGACACAAGATGTTTGTATTCAAGACTAATAAAACTCGAGCTCTGGTGGGAGAAAAAATTAAATAAAAAATATCGGACTGTTCACTAAAGCTCAGGAAGCATTCTGTTGTCACTGAGAAGTTGTTTAATCACGTGAAAACATGTCCTCACTAATAGTGCTACTGGCTTTAGCAATGATTTTATGCCCAATTCCCAAAGCTGTCGGTTTTCTCAGGTCTTATTTAGTAGCTGTCAATGGCCACCAACTGGCTTTCTGGTAGTTCAGCCGTACTGCCATTAGATGGAGCCATAATCTGTGTATGTCAGCTTTATGGCCCCCAGTGCTGGGGTTCTATTTAGGCTAAAAAGGACTATTAAAACACTTTGAGGACAGATGATTTGACAATGTAACCTTATTTTCTTATAACCACCCATATTTTGTTGGGGTTTTTTATAGGTAGATGCATATAAAACATAACTTTAAGGGAGAAAATCTAATAAATCAATTAAAAATCAAATGCTCTAATTAAATATGGATCTGTTCTATCCCCAACTTGACATATAGTTAAAAACAAAATCAGAGGTGAATTTGCAGCTTTTTAAGAGAGAGACTCCATATAAAGACAAAGTTTAAGACTGAATCAGTTCAAGGTTAGCTTTGATTGGAAAAGTTGTGCAAACTTGTCGTTTTGTTCATCATTTAATTACAGGAGACACTAATGGAAGTGTTTATGCTCCAAGCACATTAGAGATGACTGAGCCATGCATCATACCAAATTCGGAAATGCGCTCACTGTTTTTTCGAGTCATTCAGAGGCAGACCAGCATTCACACATTTTCTCTGCAGCTCCGGAAACAGCAGCAGGCGGATGAATGCTGGCGGCATGTTAATAGCCCCTTTTTTATCCCCTTAGATTAGGTCTTAATTGTTTATTAGGAACAATATCAGGGGCGTTAACGATTAAATCCATCAAACTTTGTCACTGTTCTTCAGAGGAAATGCTCAACATTTTATTAAACATATTAAACCAGACATTGCTGCCAATGGAGTTATGCTAATATAAGACTTTCTACCTTTGGGTCCATGATTAGATTTTTGGAAGATCCACTAAGATCTTAAATTTAAGCCACTTAAAAACTGAAGAACCATTAAAACCAGTCAGTCAAGGCAGTTTAACCATAGCTAAGAGGGAAAATGTTAAACTGATGCTACGGTACTGGAAAAACTTTGGTTTTCAATAGCATAAAGAAGAATAGAGAACTAGACTTTGAATAAAAGAATCAGATCAAAACTTAAACCATCTAAACACTGTTCTGTGTGGAAAAATAACTAGCTTGGCTGTTCTTAAAGCCTCTGTGACAAAACATGAGTTCAAAGGAATCGCAAAACATGTTGGCCCCCTTCAGGAAGGAAAAGCTTTTCTTCTACATTTCTGGAGATAAAGAACGTCTTATGGTGCATTCACACTAATATGGAACGGTTGCTAAGCAGCTGAAGCTATAGTGACCTAGCAGAGGAGGCTAGGTCGTCCCAATAGGCTATTATCACATGATGTCACATGTTTTTTACTATTACAATATTGGCTCACTATAACCATGACCTCCACTGACTGTTTACTTCCTGCCTCCCTTGCAGGAAAACTCACCTCTACCAGCTGATCACGTCTGAGTTTAATTGTTTTTGAGGTCCGACCAATAGCAGAGATGGGAGTCACCCACAGGGAAAGCATTTAAACGTCTTCCTGCAAATGCGAGCACCTAAGCCACGGCGTTAACATTTTGCTAAACGCCCGCCGTATTTACAGCTTGAAAGCGAGGTTTTTCCGTTTAATCCTTTTCCAAGACTCTGGTCTTATTTCCTTTATAGAACATGCTGGCTGAGGAAATGTTGACAGTATTTGGGGGAGTGGTGGCCTAGTGGTTAGGGTGTAGAGATTGGAATCCTGAGGTTGTACGTTTGAAACCCACTCCCACGGATTGCCGCTCTGGGTGTGGCAAGACCCTAAACCCCGGGCACCCAAGATGGCAGCCCACTGCTCCCCAAGGGAATGGGTTAAAGGAAAAGTCTGAGTCACATTCAGAATACAAACTTCTGAAAGTACTTTGATTATGAAATTATTACATACTGTTCAATAAATGATGAGTGTTCTCAATTAAGAGCAATTTTTATTTGAATGTGCTTTACTGGAGGCATCCATGTTTGTCAAAGAACACTACTGCCACCTACTGGTTTGTGACGTCACAGTGCGGTATCGGCTGTTGATGAAGTCCCAGTGCTGTATCTGGTGTTTGTCACAACGCAATATTATCCAAGTCATCTTGAAAACATTCTTCTTCCAAATGTTGGCTACATATTACGTGTTTTTTTTCTCTGGCCAGAAGTTTGAGGGCAAATCCTCCCTCTTCAAGTTGGCAATCCAACGACGAACCCGTCCGTGGAGGATCAGGAATCAGAAAGGTGAAATAACGCTATTTTTTTCCACTTTTACCCAATGTTGGAAGTTTAACTATAGCTCTGGTGAATTTTAATGGTGAAGTCCTCTTGAAATCTTCAATAATTGTTGTTGATTGCAGATGTTTCTAGTAGTTCCCATTGATTGATTGTAAAGCGGGGAGAGTGGTGCTAGGCTTACCGCACCGTGACGTCACTGCCGGAAGATGGCAGGAGGGAGGTGTTACTATTTGGGAAAAAATGGCCGCTCCCAGACTCGGTCATCGCTAAATTCATTAAATCAATACGGACGTATTAGCGTAGGTATAAATAATGAGTCGTTGGCTATTCCTTGCTGATCGGACTTTTCCTTTAAATGCAGAGGTAAATTTCTCCAATGTGAGATCAATAAAGTTAAATTATTATTATTATTATTATTTGGAGTTTTCCAGCTTTTTCTTAGTCCAGAGGGATAAAACACACAAAGAAAATGATGTTTGTAGCGATGCAAACAAAGCTAGTTTAAAAATAAACCAAATAGTCATACTGTCTTTGTTTTGAAATCATTTTTAGCTATTTGAACAGCATAATTATTCTTAGTTTTAGTTCTTAAAGGGGAAGTTTAACTTATAAGTTGGAGCTGAGAATTGTTTTTAATTCAAAAACTATTTATAAAAAAGTATTTTGTCAACAAAACATTGGTTTTATTTCTTCAAAACCCTGAACTTGATTGTTTCTCTTCAAAATTTACATGAAATTTCTATTCAGCAGGATAAATTTGTAAACACTGTGCAGAACATTAGGATTTTTTAGCCATTAGCGGCGGGGACAAAAAACCTCAGCTTTGGTGGCCGGATTGGCCGTGGTAAGAAAAGAGCAGCGAAAGGAGCTGCTCTGTCCTCAGACAGGCCTGAGCAGATCCTGAATGGCGCTGAGAACAAAACGGGGACATTCACATCGTCACAGTCTCTTAGCAACAGATGTGAGCCTGTTTATAGGAAATAAAAGGAAGATGTAGAGCCAGGGATGGAGACTGGCAGAATGGCAGCCATTAGGTTCAGTTAAAGGTCCAAGGCGGCGCCGTCTGAATCAGAAAGGAGCCATATGGGGAAGGTAGAAACGGACTGATTCTGGCAGATGACTGGATACCAGGAGGCAGAGATTCCTCTGTGTTGTCAGACATTAAGTAAACTAACATGGCCTGGGTGGCTCTGTCTCCTCTAGTTTAATACTTCAAGTCAGAGAAAAGGAATAAAAGATTTGAAAAATTCACTAAAATTTCCCTTTCACTTTAGCTTAGAGCTGACAAATGAAAAATCATTATGGTTTTAAGCCATGAACCCATCAGAAAGGAATGGAGTAAAGTTGATTCCATTATTGTTGGAAGCAAAGAACAAGTGTTTTGAATTGAAAATTGAGAAATTTTACTTTGAAAAACATTTCAATCAATAATAACTGATGTTTTCTCTGATTTTTTTTTTTGTCACTTTTTAAAGGAATTGCTTGGAGATTTAATCGCTAATTTCGGGCCAGTTTGAAGCACAAGCTGCAAACTTTTATGGATTAACTCCAGTTTGTTCACTTTAAGAAACATTCACACATTTTTTTTTTTTTAAATAATTGCATTTGTTCTTGAATTGAGGACCTAAAAGAGACATTTTGCTAATAGATTTACAATTTACATTTAAAATAAGAAAGAACTTGTGCATTGTCTTATTTTCTGTGCATATTATCTAATCATCTTATTTTAAGATTAAAAATACTCATTCCATTGGCTAATGATCTTATTTACCTGCTCAAATTACGGGTAAATAAACTTTATTTAAGACATTTTTATTACTTATTTATTGTTTTTCCAGTGCACTTATGGAAACGGCTGGAAAAATTGATTAATTTTGCCGCTTAATCAAAAGCAGCCTAATGTTTTCAGATCCATTCTGGTATCTTAGCTTATAAACATTTACTTTCACTCCCTGTTTTTACATTCTCTGGCTATCTACTATAAGTGTAAATTTCTGTATCGCCTTTTGCGTTGAAATTTTTTATTTTTTTTTCCCAGGAGGCATATACTATCTGCTATGATAAAAATAATTTAGATTATTAATCCCTAAGGACTATCTGAATCTGAGTAAAGTGCAACATGCAGGAGGTTCTGACTTTTTACTGAGGGAAAATCAGCTCTGGCAGAGCGACAGCTCGGCCTGCCCGTCAACAACAGAAGATCCTCATAATTATGCTCAGAAATCTTCAAATGCATGCTGTCTGTTTGGAATTAGTCTCCATGGTAACCGGCCAGACCGTCTGGCTGCAGCACAGACACGCTGATGAAGTGCTCTGTTATGATAGCAGACGCTGAACCTGGAAACATTCAGCGTATTTTAGGCCTGCTTCTCCCCTACACACCATCTCTGTAAACATCTGGCTGGAAAAGAGCCGCTTTGGTTTAAGACAGCGAGAAACCCAGTGAGGCGAGGAAAACCGACAGAGTATCTCTTCCTCACCTGGGGGCATTCTGGCACAAACTGGAGTCACTGGGTGGCATCTGAAGTCTCTCCTCCACACTTTGTGCCTCAGGGCCGGGTCCCTGCACTGTCGTCTCTCCAGCTCCAGGCCGCTGCTCATCCTCCTCCTCTTCCTCAGCAATATCCTCATTCCCCGGCTTCTCCTTCCCGCGGCCGTCACTCTCGTTGTCGCTCTCCTCTCCTAAGATGTCGTCCACCTGTATCAGGTTTGGTTTCGGAGGGGGAGCTTTTGTTTAGTTTAGTTTGCAAAACCAGCATTAAAACATAAATGAAAGCTGCCTTCCTTAGATCTTGTGATATTTCATGCATGATCTTCTCATCTCTCCCTTTTTGCATCAATTATTTATAACTCTTCTAGAGTGTCTGAGTTATGTTTCTTTCCCTCAGCATATAACTAACTGACGTCTTATTGTATGGTAAACAAACCGTGGTTAAAATGGGTAAATAAACACTGATCATTGCTTTGCTTTTTACAGGACATTTAATTTAATAATAATTTCTACCACAGAGACCAAACTGAATCGACTCGAAAGGCAAAATATCTACAGAGGGAATTTTGCTCCATTATTGTTGCAGAGAAAAAAAATGAAAAAAGACAAATGACAATTGAAAAAAAAATTAAAATGAAAATTTTCAATTGATTTTAAATTAAAAAAATATGTTTTCACATTTTTTTCAAATTAAGTTTTTTTCAAAAGTACTTTTGTTTTACAGATTTTATCTTCCACCCAACCAATACATAATATCTATTTAAAAATATGGAAAAATGTTACTTAAAATTTTGTTGTTTTTTTTTTGAGTAAAAGGTTTTTCTAAGAGCTGGTGAAGGTTCTCAGTCATCCGGGTCATAGTCATTCCAAAAAAGTTTAAAAAAAAAACAAACAACTGGACTTTGTTTTCCAAGTATGAAGACATTTCGCTTCCCATCCTGTAAGCTTTCTCAATTCAAAAAATCCTCAATGACTCCCCATTACTAAGGGGTGGACCTGTTTTCATAGACTTAAGGCCAATTTATGCTTCTGACCCATCAAATCTGTCTCTGTGCAACGACCACGCCCCCCGCGCAGAGGTTCTGCAACCATCGTCCTCAAAAAAAAATCCTGACTATGTGTCGGACAGTCGCAAACCCGCACAGACGAAAAGCAGCTGTGATCGGTCCTTGGTATGCCTTTCCGGCTGTCTGTGTGGTCGTCCTTCTTGATTCAGTGCCGGGGCGCGCCATTTTTAAAAACCGAGGAACAACTACAACAAAAGGTGAATCTGTGTTTTTGCCAACTCCATTAACAGAACCTGTTCCTCTTCAATGTCTAGCAACTCTAGATGCAGTTCTGTGACCTCGATATCTTGCAGACGCATGATTGTTGTTTTGGAAGATAAACCCTCCCGCCGGTGCCGCCAAAGTTCTCGTGACCGTCCGTCGAAGTTCTCGCGAGTTCTCAAATAGGCTCCCCCTTGCGTTTTGGCGGGAAACTGCTGTGCGTACCTAGAAATTCCAGACCAACAGTGTAGAAGCATACCAGCAAAAACTGGTTCGCAACCAGACCAAAGCAACATTTGATGTGTGCGGATGCAGAAGTCTAATCTGCCATTTAGACTCAAATTTATTTATCCCTTGGGATTACTCTTTTAGGGAAATTCTGGTTCCAGTAGCTTATATAGAGTACAAAGAGTAAAAGCAAGATGCCATTGAAGATAAAGAATACTACAGACCATATAAAAAGTATGTACAAAGTACAAAAAAGCATTAAAAAAAGAAAAATGTTTTAAAGTCCTGGAATATGTTTCCCTTAGATATAAAAATATCTGCACAGTAGAAAGGGGAAAGGGAAGACTACACAGTAGTTGACTTGGATTATTGCACTTGCACTGCAGAACTTTACAGAGTTTTCAATAAATAAGTAAAAACAATTACATAGGCTATAAAGTAGGCATGTGTTATTGCACAGTGAGAGAGAAGAATATTGCATAAGAGTGACAATTTGCATGTTTTTCCAACCATAACAAGGCTTTTGTTGGGCTAATCAACAAAGCCTAGAACTCAATGCTACTACGGACATTTTGAATTGAGATACCTTTCTTATTGGGAAGCGGAACGTCTTCAAATTGGACAATAAAGTCCAATTTAAAGTCCAACATTTTTTTTCCTTTTTTTGGAAAGGTTTTTCTAAGTTTCATTTTGATATTTTTTTCTTCCAAATACATTTCGACAATTTTTTTTTTTATTCTTTCCTTTAAATTTCTATTTACATAATGTTACATGTACTTTGCTTTCAACAATTATGTAACAAAATTCACACCATAAAAATCCACACCAATTAAAAAAGCACAGTGATTGACAACCATTTATATATAAAGCCAATGAGCCGGACATCTAATACAGGTTTACCTATTGAGAGCCATCAGGGACAGAAATAACAAATGTGCCGCCTTTTAAACCTTAATTTATCTAATTTCTGGTGCACTGATGGAAAAAAGGCAGAAGAATGCAGAGCGATGTCCCCTTTAGGCTGGATCGTTTCCATGCCAGCCTCTTTACAGGCCTTGTTGTTGCTTATTGGGGCCGCCACACACTGCCGAGTCAACTATAGGAGGGAAAAATACCCGATCTAAGCTAATCTATACAAGAACAGAAATAAAGACTGTTGTTGTCTTTGTTTTTTTTCCCTCCAGCTCGGCTCAAATTTGATTGAGGCTGACCTTGGAGGCGTCTAGCAAATTACAGGCTGACATCCAAACAAAAGACTGAAATGAGTTTCTGTTCATTTCTAGAATAACATCAATTCATTACTTCATCTTAGCCCAAATACAGATTTTTTTCAAGCTAAAACTGATTTTTATTTCTGTGGCATTTTCCCTAACACCATTTCCCACAGTCAGACTCTAAAGACAGTGAAAGAGACTAAAATCGAGTTCCTCCTGCAGTTGTAGACCCACTTTCTGCCATGATTGGGTTCAAAGACGGTTGCCCTGACATTTTTCTTGGGGTCTTGCTTCTTCTCCCCTAAAGAAAAGGTCTAAAACATAATAGAGTCACCAATCAATCTCACACATGGAGTATATTTTCAAAAAGTACTCTTCTATTGTCTGAAAAATCAACAAAATAATGTTGTAACTGCAGCCAGGCAGCTCTGATCTCACTGGCAGGCAGGGCTTTGCTCCCTACAACTCATTCTAGACAAAGAGGAAAGAGCTTTTAGTCTTTTGAAAGTTTAGTATCTACCTGGCATTGAGCCCTTTCCTTAATCATGGTGCCATTAAAACATCCATTATCTCTCTACATAATGTAAATGAACATACATAGACAAACCCTAATGTGATCTGATCTCTGGAAAACAATGAAGACATTCAACAGTTCTTTAAACAGGACCTATTATACTTCCTTTTAAAAACTGAAGAGAGGTCTATGATAAACCAGGGGTCTTCAATATCTTCCAGTCCAAGGAGTTCGAGCAGGGACCCACTAATTATATATATATTGTGTGAACTTGTGTTATATAAAAATTGTCCTATAGTCACTCTACTACAGATGGAGAAATGTAACAATAGCAATTTCGCCCTGGGATTATTAAAGTATTTCTGATTCTGATTCCTCGTTGATGGGACAGGTTTATGGGGATCGCCAAAGTTTTGGTTTATTTTTTCTGCAATTTTTTCCACTAATTGTAATGTCTTTAAATCCACATTAACATGATTTCAACACACTGTAGTAAACAGATAAATGGAGGCAGAAGATGTCTTTCAGTCATCAATGCACACATTCAGCGACACACAGGAGCTCTTTCAAGCTGGGCACTGTTTCATTCACAACACCTGTCCCATCAATGAGGAATCAGAATCAGAAATACTTTAATAATCCCAGATCGAAATTACCTTTGTTACATTACTCCATATGTAATAGAGTGACTATAGGACCAGTCTGATATAACAATTTCATACAATATATATAATTAGGGGGTCCACCTCGCGGTCAGTTCAGGGGTCCTTGGCCTGGACAATGTTGAAGACCCCTGGTTTAGGCCATTAATGATGCAGATTTGTGGATGGTGTTTAAGTCCCCTCTGATTCAGTGTGTCTCTACCATCTTTGAACACCTAGCCTTGTTTCTCATTTTCCTTTTTTTTTTAAAGCATAGTTTGCAAGCAGTTATGAACACCAATTTCAAGTCACATGGATTCGTATTGACCTCAACTTAACTATATCTACACTTTGATTGAAACCATTCTATAGTACCTCATGCTGATATGTATTTGTACAAAGCTGTCTGGCCTTGATACTCTGTAGAAAGCCCCTCAACACCAGATTGAGGTCTTGACCCCTTCACCTTTAGAAATTGGCTCAAGCTCAATCAGCTTGGATGGAATGTCTTAGCGAGTTTATTTAAGTTTCCCCTCAGACTCCTATTGAAATAACCTTTTTTTTCCCTTGTCCTTTGAGCTTTGATTGGCTTCCAGGTCCTTGATGTGTTCAACCAGCATCCAACCTCAGTTGTAGATTCAAACTTCGCTCTTGTATTCAACCTAAGTCTCAGATGAATTGATATATAATCTTAATCTTCTGCATAAATGATTGGAAAACAGGTTTTACAATGTTTGCCCTTTCTACTGTGACCCTGCTTATGCATCTTGTTTTGGACCAACTAGGCTTATAGGTTTAAGTATCCAATTTTTCTTTGATGGCAAAACAAATACTTGATACAAAAATAAATTAAGCTGGGAGTCTAAGCATTCAAAAAAGCTATTGCACCCCACTTACCCATACCTTAAAGACAACATTATTAGCTACAGAGCCAGTGAGGCATGGTTTGCCCGTGAGGACTAGCCTTTAAAGACAAATTAAACTATTAATCTCTACAATTAATGAGGCAAACCTCCTAAAGCATCGTTTGTCTTTGCTGTATTTAAAGTCAGAGGAAAGAGAAAGCCAACTTTAAATACTTTCTAAGCAAAATACATCATGTCCTAATTTCCTTTTGGGATCAATGAAGTATTTTCTGCCTTAAAGGTAGGCTGTTCATCTCAGGACTGAGAGAAAGTAGAGGAGTCTGCTTCCAGGGCTCAAAGCAACTGCTGGCTCAAAGAACTGCTGAATGATAGTGTCAGAGAGATCACTTTCTAAACTGTCCTGTGCCTCGCTGAATCTCTCTAAAGGTATAGGGCAAAGTTAAATTGAGCCAATGTTTGTTTATAGCCTGCAGGTT